TTAACATACATGTCAGTAGTCTCTGTTGTAATGTTTTGCCATTACTGACACAAAATGTTTCCATGTTTCCGAATCGAAATAGTCCAAGATTTCATCCCAGTTCTGGACAAAACAAATTGCAAAACGTCAGACTTGACAGCAGAATGGAAATTCCATTTTCTGACCAACTCCACTGACCCCAGTCACTTCCCACTCCAATCCTTGGAGCCACTATAGCTCACCTAGGGTGGCACCTGTCTGGGACAGCAGGGAACACCCCTGCACTGTGTACAGGGAGGGAAGTGAGCAGTACTAGGCTCGTGTACGAAGGTGCATAGGTACCATACTGACCCCATCCCTGCTAGTCTCTGGATGGCTCCTTCCAACTGGGCTGTTCTTAATTACACTATAATGTCAACTCTGTCTAGCAATTCGGAGCTGATGTTGGGGGGGCTCTCACTAAAACACAGGTGCCAAGGAATTCTGCTTGCGCCACCAGCCGTTTCTCCTGCTAGAAGCCACTGTGCTGCCTTGCCGTACCGAGGCAGAGCTTCAGAAATGGCCCCTCTCTCCGTGCTTGGTAGCACTCACCCTCCACTGCAGGCTGGGAAGGGATAGCTCACGGGAGTAAGGGCCCAGAGGAAGTCCCCTCCCTTGCAGACTGGAGACAGGGGCAGCTGCTGGAGCCCACCAGGGAAGTGAGGAGACTGGGATCATGGAGGGGGACACGCTCTGGGAACTTGCCAGGGGATTTGGGTTCTGGGTGATTGGGTGTCTGTGTGAGCTGGCCAGGAGATTGAGAGCTGCAGGAATGGGGAGCCTGCCAGAGGGAGTGGGGGTTACAGGAACCTAGTGGGGTCAGACCCCAAACCAGGATTTATTCTTTGGCCTAAAAATCAGGAGTGTGTTTTTTTTTTAATCTCATGATTTTAGGGGTTCTGTCTCATGACAGCGCAAATGCTGGGGTTGGAAGTGCTGATTACCTTGCCCCAGTAGAAGTGGCTTGGAGCTGAGACTCTGGAGGAGGAGGAAATATGAAAGCAATCGTCCAAAATACCTTCACTGCTCCCTTTTTAAGACGGAGGAGGGGATTTACCTAGAAACCGAGCCCTGACCGTCTGCAGCATTTCACTGGAGCAAACACCCATTTGCTTTACTGGAGCGCGAGAATGTGACTGAAAATAGCAAACTTCCATTTTAAAAGAGCATCGAACTTTAAAAATGTCCAGAATGATTATTAATTATAATTATTAATTTATTCTTTATTTGTTATGATTTGTTTCTGAAGTGGCACCTGTGAGAAAGGTATTTTTAGGGTCAGACTTCCTCTGATCGCTCTCATCTCAGAGCGATTGCTTACAGTTGCGTTACGCAGTTTTATATAGGAAGTGTGTAAGAGACACTTCACCACTGGCAGGCATCTGGCTACCTCTGAAAATGGGGTTAGGTTTATAATACAAGAGCCCAGGGTGTATGCACGCCGAGTTCTTGTTCCAACGATTGTTTGCTTCTCAGTGCTGCACACTGGCCCTTCGTTTCAGCAGCTTCCTAGATAAGGAACGTTGCGGAGAAATAAAATGAAATTACAGGTTAGTGAAATGCTGCTCTACAGAGACACAGTCCTGGATTGCAGCTGAACCTCCCACTGACGTCAAGGAATTCAAGAAAGGACCCTAGCTTTTCATTTCCTAGAATGGGGTTGATGTAAAAGGCATTCCAAGCCCTGTGCCCACAAACGTGTTAGAACTTCCCCTGAGATCCCTGATTGCCTAGAACAGTGTGAACAGTATGAATTCAGAACAGGGCAGCACTTATTTTGTAATCAAGACAGTTTGGCTTGGTCTGCAAGCCTTTTTCCAGTGCTGTTAGCTTCTTTCTCCCCAGGTCCATTTTTTAAGCCCAGTTCTCTTAGAAGACTGTGGACCTGGTGTGCAGACAGAGCCTTAAACTACTGGGATTTAAAAAGTAATAGATAACAGGGTCTGTAAACGGAGGGAGAGATATCTACAGAAAGCTTTCTTTACCTATATTCCCCCACAGCATTACCTGCGGTGGGAAAGGAATGCTGGTAGCACCCCTGCTAGTGAAGATGGGATGTCGAGCAGCTATTGGGACCTCATTTATTCTGGCAGGCGGTTAGACTGGTCTGTGCTGCTGCTCCCAGGTTTGCAATCTCCAGTTCAGCTCTGTGGCTAGTAATGACGATAGGAAACTTGGGGCAAACTCCCTCCAAATCCTAGGCCCTGATCTTGCAAAGACTTGCGCTCATGTTTAACTTGACATTTGCGAATAGCCCCATTGACTTCAGTGACATTACACATGGGCGTGCGTAGGTGGTGGTAGGCTCGGAGCCCGCATGTAGATAACAGTTTCATGGTTTCTGAAAAACCAAAAAAAAAGTTCAATTTCTGAAAACCAGAACATTTCCGCTTGGCAAAGCCGCCGTGGTGGCTCATGGAAATTGCCCTTCTGCTGCCTTGTGCCTCCATTTTTCTCTATAAGCTGGGCTCCCTGGCTGGACAATGTCCAAGGTGAAGGGTGGGGCCAGTAGAGGTCCCCAAGCTAACGTCAGGGTTGGTGCTGGTTGAGGTTCTTTGGGTAGGGTTGGGTACCCCAGGGTTCACTGGCCAAGGGTTAAAGCTGGGGTCGGTATGAGTCCTTGGGATGGGGACTGTAGGGTTAGGGATGAGTCTAGGAGGGCTCTCTGGGTTAGGGACAGTGGTTGGCTGGTAGGGGGCCCTGTACTCAGACTAGGTTGGGGCTGATATGGCATTCTTGAGTATGGTTAGGGTTGGGGCCTGTTGTGGTCCTTGGCTATGTTTAGGGTAGGACCACTGGGGCTATTTGGCCAAGAGGTAGTGGTGGAGGTGCTGTTGATAATGGTGGTGTTTCCCATGCTGGAGCTGGGGCTGGGGCCAACGTAGGGCTCCCCAGTCTAGAATTATGTTTGAGGTCAATCCGTGGCTCCAAACTAGGGTTATGTTATGGCTGAAGAGGTAGCTCCAGGCTAGGGTCTGAGATGGCTAGTGGTTCCAGGCTACTGACAGGGTTGAGGTCTGATTATTGCCCTGGTCATGTGGCCTCAGTCGCTGGCCTCAGTCTAGGGTTGTAGTTTGGAACAGTTGGTCAACCTTTGTCAGGGTTTTGGTTGGGTCCCCTTGGTAGCCTCAGCCTAGTATCAGGGTTGGGGTCGGCAGGATTCCTCACACTACACTTAGCGTAGGGGCTGGTTGGTGACCGTTTGGGGCTGGTGGGTGATCCTGGTCTAGCATTACTGGTGGTAGGGGTGGGGTTAAGGGTTTGGGGGGCAGGGTTGGGCAGGTTTGAGATCTCTGGCTAATGTTAATATGGTGTCATATTTATTAATCACCATGTAAAACTTTGGAAAGTGCCTAGGGGTCTAACCCTGTTTTTATGGGCCTAAGTCCCATTGATCGGAATGGATCTTATGCCATAATGAGATTGGTTTATAACCAATATTAATAAAAGCAATGTGCTGCAGTTTATAGCAGCATCAAGGTGCTTTATCACCATCACTGCTTCGCAGCTGAATGCAGACTACTCAGGAAAACCCAGTAAAAGCTAGGAAATGCTCAGTCCTTGCTGCTGTTACAGAGGTATTTGTGAAATACCCTCCCCCCTCCAGACGCTTGCAGGATTCCTTTGTTGCATAGATCAGAAGAAACTATTCACTCCTCATTTCACTTCATAGCACCTTGTCAAGGAGCTGCGCAAACTTCCGAGTATGTAAATCCTGTACATCTTTTTGGATCTCGAGGGAGATAATAGAGGCTTTGTGCCGTGAAGAGAATGGGGCTTTCTGACAGGGAAGGGGGTTCAGTTTCCAGTACCTCTGAGGATTAACTGGCAGCGTTTTGCTATATTATACCATGCAGCGGGATGATTGGTTTTCACCCCCCCCACCCATGCTTGATGGGGTAGAAATATTTCGTTTATATCTCCCTATCTGCCTCTCTCGCAGTCATTTGGGCACGCCCCCCTGGCCAAGCACTCATTGATGGTTAACTGACCGGGCTTCCCTAATGAGATGCAAATTAGCGGATGGCCTGTCAGACCATCCCCTCGCACGACGCTACCGCCAAGGTCCTGCCCTTCAAAGCGGCGCCTCCCAGCCCAGGTGAAATCGTGTGTGGAAGGGAAGTGGGTGTGTCTCTTCCCTGCTCCGGGGGCGTAATGCCGGGGAGCCCGGAGAATACCTGCCGCTGGTGCCCCGAGGGGGTCAGTCGGAGAAAGCGGCGCACGGGAGGGGGCTAATCAGCTGGAAACGGAGCAGCTTCCCCTTGTCCGCCTGGATCAAGCTCAGAGCCAGGATGAAACCAGCCGCGGCGGCGGCGGCACATGTGGCCGAGTGAAACCTACCAGCGCCCCGCAGGGCGCGCCCAGCCGCAAAGGAGATCCGCCAGACGCAGCGGGCCTGGGGGTGACCACTGCACCGCTCCCTCGATCCCCTCCACCCCGGGGGGCTGGGCGGACCCCGGAGCAGAGACCCCCCGGCGCCCGAGCGGGAGGAAGACCCGGCCGGGCGGCCCCCTGACCTCTCCGGAGCCCGCGGATCCTGCAACCCGCTGCTGACGGGACTGGCGAGCGCCGAGGGAGGGCGGCTGCCTGGGGACCCTGCGCCGCTGGCGCACATGGGCGAGCGGGCGCGGAAGGACTGACGGGCTCCCGCCGCCAGGCTGCTCCCCGAGCCGGATCGGCCGAGGAGACGGGGCCGGGGGCGGCTGGGACAGCGCCCTGGCGGGGCTGGGCTGGTGACCTTGCTGGGATGCGGGCGCCTGGGCTGCCTCCCTCCAGCCAGCCGCGTCGGGGGGCTCTCAGCCCGGGGACCCAAAGGCCGGGCAGCCGGGCAGCGCTCGGGGCTGGGCAGGCGGATTCGTAGTGCCCGAAGTGGGATCCCCCGGGGGCAGAGGCAGGCAGGAGAGAAGCAAGCGCCTGGCTGGATGCACACACGCCCAGGGAGAGGCGGCCGTGGCTGGACTTGGGGCAGCCGAGTCGGGCTAGGTGGCTAGGTCCTCCTCCTTCCCCCAGCACGGTTCTCCTCCTCCCGCGAGGAGCCGGGCGCCTGATGTTCACCGACCTGCGAGCCAAGCTCAACCCCCCGAGAGGCCGAGATGGGGCTCTGAAAATGAACTGCGGCGACCCGAAAGAGATGGAAGGTAAAGGGCGGGGGGGCGCTGGGTCGAGGGGGGGATGCTCTTGCTTTCTTCCCAAGCCACACACGCCGCTTGCTAGGGGCAGGGGGGTGGCAGACCCCGGGCTGGCTCTGGCTCTCCGTGGGATGCACCAGGTGGAGGGAGGTTCGCAAGCTTTCAACCAGGCCCCCCCCCCCCTTTCTTTATCTGAGCCTCCAGAACTTGCAGGCATCGGTCCCCTGTGCTGCAGTGACCCCGCTTTGTTTTGGGGTTGGACCCCTCGGGGCGAGGGGGGGTCAGATGGAGACGAGCGTGTTCGCTAGAGCGATACGAACCCGGGGGAGGGGGGGAGACTTCAATTGCCTGGGGGTAGAAGGCCGATGAGCGAAGCAATTGTCTCGCCTCGGTGCAGCGGACAGCCCCAGGGGCCGGTTTCCATGCACTGTGGTCTCTGGCTCCCCCCGGCTCCGCTCTCACATCGATCACATCCAGGCGGTGCAGTTCCCAGGAGCTGCCCTGCGCCCTGGTGCTAAAAGTTTGCCTCCCGTGAACAGCCCCGAGGGGAATGTGGCCGCTTTAGCTAACCATCTGCTCTCCTTTGTCTGGGCACGTCTGGCTGTTCCAGGGCATCTTCCGCCTTCTGTTCCCATCTCTGCAACTCACCCTGGCTGGGCATCCTTAAGACAATTCACCCCTCTGTAATGATACTTCCCTTCCTCCCAGGGTGTTGTGAAGCTAGAGGAATGTTTGTAAAATGCTTTGAAATCCTCAGATGAAAGGTCCCTGTAAGTGCCAGGCATTTAGGACTCCACACAAACCCAGCGGACAAACGCTGTTCTTTCAAAAGACTTTGATCCAGAGTCTCGATCAGACCTCCCTAATGCAGCAGCCTAATCATTGACTTCAGGCAAGGAAGGAACAAGGTCTCTGGGCTAAATCCCGACACATACTGAACATTAGCAGCTCCCATGGTCCTGAGTGCCTGGCCACATGTGACCCTCGGTGACTAGATTGTCTGTAGCCTTGTTCTGGGTGGAATGAAACACCAATGTTCCTGTCTAATTGTCAGGGCCTTTGAAATATTATCTGTCCCAGACATATACAGATACATTGTCACTCAAAACCAGCACAGGCAACTCATCCTGGTAGTGCCTATCTCCCCTTGGTATGCCCGCAGACTCGCTGGGTGCCTTCTAGTTCTGGCCTGGTGGGAAATCTTCTGAAATTTGCAGCTAAATCAAGCAGCTCTATTTTAGCACTAACTTTCGGCCCGATTGCACTCATGTCAGCGAGCACTCACTTATAGGAACAGGCCCATTCTCTCTTGTCCTTGTCGCTCCTTGCACTTCACCTGGCCCTAGCTTTAATTTTCAAATCAAAATCAGGAATTCAGTGCAGGAAACAGAATAAAGCAGGTACAGTTCGTTTTCTTTTCTCTCTTCTTTCTTCTCCCTCATATGAAATAGCAGGAAAAGGCATCGACCTGATCTCTCAATGTAAATTAATTTTAAAATAACAAAATAATATTGATAATGTAAATATTCAATGAGAGAGCTTTAGACGAAGCCAGTATGGAATATTGGATTAGCATAATCCAAGGCCCTGATACACACTTCATGGGCCAAATGGGGCCATAGTGTAACTTCATTGACAATAGAAATGAATTGGTTCATTGGTGTCAAGCCGTCCCTTTAAAGGCATGTAATTTCACTGAAGCCAATGGGGATCTCTGGATACAATGGGGGGTAGAATATGAGCCATATGTTGCATTGAAGCTTGGGCTGGGGGTGGGAAGGCCATGTCATAATTTGGAGGGTCAATGATCCGATGTGCTAAGAACCACTCTTCTCAGGGGAGCCACGTCACTCACGCCCCAGTGCCCAGGAATCTTTCCCAGAGGGTCGAGTGGAATTCTCCATCCTTTACAGCATTTGAAGATCAGCTGAAGGGGAAAAGTAAAATAACACGAAGGCCAGTTTATTTTGTGGTTCACGTGGTGAAGGTGTCAAAGGCGAGGCATGATCTCTGGGGACCCATTCCATGAGTGAATGATGTGATATAGTCACCAGTCCTAAGAAGCCCCAGAAGAACCTTAATTGTTTTTTCTTTTCCTGCTGCAAGCAATGAAGGAAATGCAACGGGCCTCTAGTTAATCTGAACCACAAATCCATCTTCTTGATTGCAGGCTAGTTTCTTGCACCATTAGGTGCTAAATGTCTCTTTCCCATGGGGAAGTTGGAAATGCAGCAAAATGACAAACGGTTTTTGTTCATCATAAAGCACACTTCTCTAAGGCACTGTAGGAAGTTTATACCCAGTAGCAGAAATGCTAATCTATTGTAGGTACTTATGTGAGCCCCATCTCCATAGTATCTGTGCACATCACAGTTTACTCCTCACAGCACCCAATAAGATGAAAGTGCTATTATCCCCATCTTGCAGATGGGGAACTGAGGCACCAAGAGACTAAGTGATTTGCCCAGAGTCATAGAGGATGGTGTGGCGTAGCAGGAACTCATCCCAGGTCTCCCATAGCCTGCCTAGCACGCTGACCACTGGACCCAGCCTTCTTCTCTGAGGAAGTTCAAGATTTTGGGGCCCAGATTTCCCAGAATTGTGTGTGAAAGAGACTTTTGTGCACTCCTAACTTGCACATGCATGTTTTACTGCACACAGCTGCAGTAACTGTGCACACAAAGTAGATACAAAGGCTGTGCCTTTGTGTTTTGTATGAGTTTGAATTATTTGCTTTGGGGCTTCTTCTTCTTTTTTTTTTTTTTTTTAAATAAGAGACTCTGAAATAAGTTTTATGGCCCCATATTTAGGCCCCCTATTGACGTTTGTCCCAGTCTGCAAACCCCCGTGAAGTCTGGCACGGTTCAGAAGGATTGGCAATTGAGAGAGGAAACAGGTGCATCAAAGGGGCTATCTCCGGAGGTGAAGGGAAGATTGGAATAGCGGGAGTGTTGCAGGTGAAGACTGAGGTACACTGAGTATGGAATAGCAGGGCTGCAGTACATGTAGGAATTATCTGCCTTTCTCCGGGTATTACCTCTTCCTTTTCATGAACAGCAAAATCACTCACACATTTTAAATGGAGCTTATTGTCCTGAGGCAAAATTCACCTCTCTAACTTGTGTGCTGATGTTCTGCTTTTCTAGATCTGCACAGGGAGGGAGAGCTGGAGCCCTACAGAGATCTGCCATTTTTATTTTGCACTTAACAGACCCCTATTCCCATAGTATCTGAGCGCCTCTAAGCTTTCAAGTATTTATCCTCACAACAGCCCTGGGAGGTCAGGCAGATAAGGCCATTTTATAGCCTGAGGTTAAATCATGTGTCTGAGGTCACACAGGAAATCTGTGGCATAGCAGGGAACTGAACCTGGGACTCTCCGGCTATGTCTACACTGCAATAAAACACCTGTGGCTGGCCTGTGTCCGCTGACTGGGCTTCAGCTGCAGGACTATACAATTGCTGTGTAGATGTCTAGGCTCAGGCTGGAGCCTGGGCTCTGGGACCGCTCCCTTTGCAGGATTGCAGAGGCTGGGCGCTAGCCCAAGCCTGGATGTCTACATGCAGTTTTATAGCCGAGCCCTGCAAACCTGAGTCCGCTGATGTGGGCCAGCTGCAGGTGTTTTATTGCACTGTGGACATATCCTTGGGTCCTAGGCTAGTGGGCTAACCACTGGGCAATCCTTCCTCTTTGCCAGGTGATGGGAATCGTGCTCCTAATTTGTATGCTTTTGATATGAATTTGGCTGCTTGAAATTTCTCTCTCAAGGGATGGTTGGTAACATCTGCAAGTGGGTTGGCAAAACTGACATATCAGGTCTGTTCCAAGCAAATTTATAGCAGCAGGTAGCGGTCAAACTGCATCCGACTCAAAACACTGGGCAGTCCCTACCCTGAGACACTGCCACTGACTATCTGTCTCAGTCAGTGTTTTCAGGTCCTGGACTGAACAGTGGGATCTGTTGTGGAGGATTCAGAAATCATACATTTTCCTCTCCTCCCCTGCCCAGTCGTAGCGGTTGTTGCACTGAGCTCATGTAACATCTATTTTTCATCAAGACGTAGCTAGTGCTAAAAGTGACTTGGGGGGAAAAATTGAAGCCGCTGTGTATTTTGAAAGTGAGTTGAATAAACTCCATCTTCCTGTGCTGTTCTGAATGGCAGCTCCCAACCTTTTTCTAGCCAGACTCCCACCCATTCTGAACCCAACCAAGATGCATGCACAGTTAAGAAGCTCCCTAGGCTGTGAATTTATATGCAATGCCTATGTTTCTATCACCCATCACAGAAAGCAACAGCTGCTCTGGGTTTCCATGCAGCAGGTTAGCCTTGTTCTGTCTCTCTGGCCTTTCCAGCATTAGGGGAGAGGCACTGAAACAAATCAAAGTGTAATGAGAGAAAACGCAGTGGGGGGATCAGCCACTGTCTTTCTGTTCAGAGCACGCATTCTAACCTGTTAGTTTTTTGTCCCCAGACTTCACCTATCTCCCAGGAAGATTTAGGACAGGCTCATCTCCAGTCACTGCTGGTGGAGGCTGAAATGCTACAGGGATGGAATGAACCAGGTTGATTAAAAAATAACCCTTTCTCTTCCTGGTTCAACACTTACTGCTGCTAAGCATGGCAGCTTGGCCTGGTAGGGGGAACGCAGCAAGAGGGTACAAGAACCAGTGCTGTCTAGAAATCCAGTGAAACCTACTCTAAAGGAGGGAGTGTTGTCTAGTGATTAGACTGGAGGGGGGGCCAGGTCAGAACTGGAATTCAGGACTCCTGGGTAGAGCTGGGTGAATATTTTTTTTTGGAGAATAGTAAATTTACTGAAAAAGTCATTTTTCAGGTCACCAAAACTATTCATGAATTTGGATCAAATTTGACAAATAGTATAGTTTCATGCAGGAAAAAAATGGGAAGGTTTTTTTTATTTGTCAAAAGTTCATTTTGAAATGAAACTTTTTGATTTTTCTTTTCAACATGTTTCACGTTGACTTTTTTGTTTCAAAAGAGCATCT